CCTCACCGTGCAGCCAGCAGGAAGGGCCCGGCGGTGTCAGCTCCCGGTGAGTGGCCGGCCACGCGCCCTGGGGGCGGGGGGCGGGGACCTGGCCAGGCGCACAGGGCCCACGTCCTTCTCCCCGAGTCAAGTCGGGACTCTCCAGACAAAATCCTGTGGGTGGGGAGATGGGCCAGAAATGGAAGCTGCCCCGGGGGCGTCCCAGACGGGGTGGCAGGTGAGACACAGGACGCCCCCGGTTACAGCTGACTCTCGACAAGCAACACACCGTTTCCAGTGTAAGCAGATCCCACGCACCACCTGGGACGTACTCACGTTGCAAACGGCTCGCTGGTTCTCTGGGCTGCGGAGCTAACTGGACGTCCGAGTTTCAGTTTGCTGAACCTGGATGGGCCCTCCCAGAAGAGAACGCCCGTCCCAAGCCCAGTGTCCACACACACACACACACACGTGCACACACACACGCACGCACACACGCACGGCGGAGGTTGCACAGCAGTCATGACGCACGGGCTTCTTCCTCGCCCCCCAGATACTTCTGCCCCGGCTCGCGAGGCAAGTTGGCGGGAGCCCTAAGGATCCAACCACAGACGCTTCGGAGGGGGTCCAGGTATGTGGGTGCCCTCTGACCTCTGGAGGCGGGACAGAGGGCGAAAGGTGGCCTGGCTTTTCCAGACACGTCCCTCCGCGCCGTGGTGGGGACTGGGCGGGTCTCTGGTTGGCCGCCGTGGGGACACAGGCGGGGAGGAGGGCAGATGTGGGTGGGACCCGCACAGCTTGAGCTCCGGCCACCAGCCACCCAAAGTGGGCCACCCCGAAAGCTACGCGCCCCTCCCAGTCCTGGCGTTTGGCACGTCCTTGATTGACTGCATGCGTTTTAATGCTGAGTTCAGATAGTGCCAAAGAACAGAAGACAGTTGACCCGATTGCTTAGAATCTGGAAGAATGAAGGGACGTCCCACATTAGCCCCCAGCGGTCTACAGCTTACAACGAGCGGGGCCCAGACACACGTTCTCTCTTCCAGGTGGTGGCTGTGCCCTACCCCCCGAGGAGGAAGTTCGGTGATTCCCCTAAAAGTCAGGGTAAGAGGCCCCGCCCCCACC